ACCTTCTAGATGATCTCTTCGCCTTCCAGATGGTTCTAGCACCTTCTAGCACCTTCCTGTCGCTTCTAGACTCCTTCTAGACCTAGCCATGCCTAGCCAGACCTAGACTGGGACATGTGACTCTGGGACACCTGCATATGTGCGCATCACGTGCATGCCATGTCATGTGACTAGCCTGGAGCCACGCAGGCAGCCACTACCAGTTAACTCGTCACTGTTCTGAGAATGGAACACACACTGCCTGCCACTGCTCTAGCGCTGGTTAAGCGCTTAGCTTCGAAAAACTGTGACAACTAGGCATACACTATATAGTCCACCTCTGACTGCCTAACAAGATATTGGGTATCTGTTGGTTACATAAACAAACCCTAAAACAAAAACGAACAACTGCTATAGCCCGTGTTAGATGCACCGGTGAACAGCAGAGTGAAACACTGGATTAGTTTGCTAATCTTGTGTAACACTGAAAGTGTGACAACGTGCGTCTTCCACCACGTCACTCCTGGTATATATTCTCGCATTTCAACATCTTTCTCGCTCTCGACGGCTGTTTGACTTTGTCTCCCAATACCACAGGGCACGTATCTCAACGAGCGGTTAAGACAGGTCCGTCACTGCCTGTTCAGTAGTATATATAAACTTTCCAAGATTTATCTCTCCTCTATCCTGCACACAACACTGCTTACCCAGTAGTACTCCCAGGGCAGCGATCCCACGACATTTCTCAGGTCATAGTGACTTAGCAGAAGCAGCCAGGCCCAATGATCCTTGACGAGCACCTTGTCACACTCCCGGACGCTCCTGCAAGCTTCTACGCCATCAGGTAAATGCATTTTACTGGTGCATACCTCACAACCTCAATCAGCCTAAAATATGCTAAGGCAGGTGCATGTAGGCAACTGCTAGCACTATCCCAGCCTGCCTAACTGGTATCCGCCAATCCTGCATAAGCACACAGCATGGACAGGCCACTCGCATACATCCACACGTCTTTGTCGTTCCATACACTCAATGAACGCTACCCCACGGATGTGATGCACCCCGAGAGTGGGCTTAAGGCATGGTTCTGGTGGCGATTGTGGCACGAGGCTGCGTTGACGAGGAACGGAATGGCTCTGGCCGAGGCTCGAGGGCAGGAGACCACAGTTGGGAAAGAGGGAGAGCAGCAGAAAAAGGGTGGAAATGCCTAATCAAGGTTCGAGGAAACCTTGGACCACAGAGAGGTCCTGGTGGAAAGCCCTTTGTAGTGGACTAATATGCAGTGATCAATAGTGAGCTTGTTGCATTGTCCAAGCATCCAGCATCCTTTGTACAGCTGCTCTGGTATAACAAAATGCTCACTTGTTTGGTAATTTAGAGCTCCTATTCTGTACCAGTGTCATTAAACCTTTTACCTGGCAGGTGATCTCAAACGAGTCAATTGGCACATTCAAGACCAAAGTAAAAAGAGGCCCTGCCAGGAATCGAACCTGGGTTATGGGAAGTTTTTCAGTTAGTCAGAATCCCATGTGATAACCGCTACACTACAGGGCCTTGCACATTCTGCTCCTTGTGTCGTACATAATCGTGCGCATTCCTCAACATACGGCGGGTCTTGAGCGATTTGTAGCCCCGGTGCTCCGCCCAGATCAAAGGCGTGTCACAACGTCGACACAGAGTCGGCCAAACCACCGCCGTGCAACCGAGTGCGTTACCCGGCCAGGCCCTTCCTTCGAGGGCGCCGCAAATAGCTCGCGGCGCGGTTCCGGAATAGGGGACACCTCGATGCTCATGGGATGTCGGGCGCAGAAGCAAGCACTGTAGCGGGAGGGCTCCGTCGAAATCAGCATACTTGACGAGCCGGAACGCCAGTTGTGGCGTACAATGGACAAGCCTGCGCAGAGGTCCCGGGGGTGAAGCGCGTCCGCCCGAATTTCAGTCGTCCGAGTCAAGCTAGGCGGGTATCGGTATGCATCTGTACGGCGTGCGTCGTGGGCGCTTTCAGTGGCTGCAGGTGCAGTTGAGGTCCGGATACGATACCTGAGAGGGTTGGTTCGCTGGGTGGACTGAGCTTGCGTCCGCATAGGCCAAATTGGTCAATGATGTTAACGGCCGAGCCGATTTCCAACGCATACAGTCAGCCGCCGCCAGCGTAGATCTTCGCTCTCTCATAGCGCGGGCGACGATGGCCAGCCACCAGCTCCCGTCCTAAATGCACAACCTACGCGTGCAGAGCGTCGCACAGTCAACAGATGGCGGCCATGCGCGCAGGTGTGTACACCAGTAGAGAAAGGAAGAGGCGGTGCAAGGATGATGTCACGAGACGTCCCTTGGTCCCGTATCACGCGAACAATGGCGGCGGCGAAGCATGGGATGCAGGGGCGTGTAGCTCGTGTATGTGAGGAGCAGAGGCCACCGGCATTTGCCAGTTGCTTTCGCACCTGCCAAGATAGGCCCGGTGAGACTCGACGACACCAGCCCGGAGGGATCGCATCCACAGATGACGGCAGGTCGTTGTTCGGAGCGGTGACCCACTCCATTAACGCGTGGGAGAGTGCTTCTCGGCCGTTTGCATTTGCTAGCGCATGAGAACGAGTACATGGGACTCGAACCAGTGCGTTTGAGGTCGTGGTGTTCTAAGAATGACATGTATTGCAAGACGACACGTCTTCTCAGGTGGTTGGATCAGCAAGCACTAGGGACGCCCGAATTGTTTTCCAGCGCATATAGTCAGCCGCCAACGCAGATCTTCGCTTTTTGATGGTAAAAACGAGGCGAGTCAGCCGTCATCTTCCGTCTCAAAGATGTGCCCTACGGTACAGAGCGTCTAACAGCCAAAGGATATCGGCCATGCGCGCAGGTGTGCATAGCCTTAAACGGTCCTTGGAGGCAGGTGGATGTGCAGCTCGTCATGTTGAGGAGTAGAGGCCACCGGCACGGGGCGGTTGTTTGGCATCTGCCAAGATAGGCCCGGTGAGACTTTGACGACACCAGACCGGGGAGATCGCGTCCACAGATGTCGGCAGGTAATTGTTCGGAAAGGCGCCCCACCTCATTAACGAGTGGAGGAGTGGCCCTTTGCTGTTTTGCATTTGTTGGCGCATGAGAAGGAGCACACGGGTTCCAGGCCGGTGCGCTTGAGGTCGCAGAGCGTCCCAAGGCAACGCGCACGCGCTGCAGGACGGTGCGTCTTCTCCGGCCTGGAGAACCATAGCAGCATAAACCGACCCTCGAGAGCAGTTGCGCAGAGCCAGAAAGGTACCACTTGACTGGATACCAGCGAGGAACCGTCGCCTGCCTGACGACCGAGGGTGGAGCGAGATATTCCGTATGTACGGTTGTCCCAGGGAGCCCACCACGGCCCACGACGGAGCGGGGTAATCAAGCAAATCAGACCGGCGTGCTGAGCGCTGGAGCTGGGAGACGCAAGCACGCGAGAAGAGGTGGCGAGCCCGCAAGTGCGTGCTCCATCGCGGGCGAGAGCATGTAGAGCAGCGTTTGAGTATCCCAGCACGGGCTAGCGCAGGCACCGCTGCGAGACACGGCGGGGTCGATAGCGTTCCGCACGACGCACCAGGGATGCTCGAGGGGGGCCCAGCACGAGCTGGGATGCGCCCGCGGCGGCTGGGACGCGGGCGAAGCGTTCAAAAGCGTTCGACTGCTCGGGTGGGAGGGACGCGAGGCGGATCTGGGCTCCGGCAATTTCCAGAAGCTGCAGATGGCGTGGCGCCCACCGGCGTCCACGGTCTGTGCTCTTTCCTCTACGGGCAACTCTCTGCTAGCGAGCTATTTCTGATGTTTTCTGGAGCTGGTGGCTCTCTGCTGGTCACCGGGCGATTACCTTGGCTGTCTGGGTGCGAATGTGATAACTGTGCGAGCACGGCTCGTGGCTAGGGGCTGCATGTGGAACGCGATCTGCTCTGGGTGTTCTGGAGGCGTGGACCTTCTGGAAGAGGCGACTCGGGGACGATCGTGGATGACGCTGAGGGAGTCGGGGCAGAAGGACTGATGTGCCGGGCGTTGAGCCGCCCCCGCACCCGCGCGCGGTCCTGCCCCAGCTTGTGCCAGTAACGCCCCTCCCGCTCCCCGGGCCTGATCGCGCATCGTGGGTCCCAGCCGCAGTGTCCCCGCACGCTCATCCCCGCGCGGGGAGGCCCGATATGCTGCGATGTTCACTCGCGCAGGCGGGGGCTGTAGCACGCCCTCGGCCGCACTCGCGGAGGCGCCGGGAGCTGATCGGGATCGGAGGACAGGAGGTAAAGGAGGTTGCGCCGTGCGTTGCGTCATCGTTGTCGTGCATCGTCCATACGGCTCTGGCTAGGCCGCTCGCGCACGGATGATGCGCTCCCCTGGCGCTGTGGGTCCCGCCCTGGCGCTGCGGTGCGGGCGCGGTACAAATGTGCTTGGCAGGACGCGGCCCGCGCGCTGCATCACGTATTATAACACCCCGCGCGTCAGAACGCAGGCTTCTGCATCTGCTAATACGCCTGCCCATTTCCCGCGTCAAGCAAACGTCGCAAGTGCTATTTGTGTCGCGCGCGTGCCTCGCCAGGTGCGAATCCGACGCCGTCCGGAGCCTGTGAGTGCGCTTCCCAGCTTCGCGCGTGCCAACGACGCTTTGTCCCATGCTCGGTCCTACGCTAGTGCCCCCGTCGCGTGCCCCGTATATCTCCCCGTCAATCACGTTCTGCCCCTCCTCCGTCCTTCACCCCCTCTTCACTCCACCCCGCCAGCTGCGACCATGAACTGGCTCGAGCCCATCGAGTGCGTGCACTAGTGGTAATCGCGTCCATTGATGTCTAACGCGCGTGACAGGTTCACCCCGTGCAGCCCCTGGCCGCTCGACTCGTACCTCCACGTCTCCCGCTCGCCCTCGCCCAGCCCCCCGCCCCCCGACTCCGACCCGCTCTTCGCCCCCGACTCCTCCCTCGAGCAGGAACTGGTACGCATTCTCATCACGTGCACGCGTTGCGCATCACTGACTGACACGCGCGCAGTGCTCAAACTTCTCCTGCTGCGGCCTCGCGCTGCACGACCTGCACTCGCTCCTCGAGCACTTTGAGGAGTCCCACGTCGTCGTCCTCGGCGCGGACGGCCGCCCGCTCTACCCCTCGCCCTCGCCCTCCCCGTCCTCCGCCTTCGCGCACTCCTCAACCTCCCATCCCCCGCCCTCGCCGCACGCAAGCCTCGCGCTGAACTACCCGCACCCCGGCCCGCCCGCACCCGCGCCCGCCGACTCGCTGCTCGCGCCCGCGCTCCAGTACGCGCAGGCCGCGAGCACGTTCCGGGACCTCACCCGGCTCGCGCGCTTCCCGCCCGACGCGTCGCCCATGTCCGCCAGCGCGCGCTCGGACGACTCGTTTCCCGCGCTCGGCGAGTCCATATGCCTGCCGCCCGCGCTGCTCACCGTCGCGCCCCCCGCACCGCCTCCGGCGCTGCCGCAGATCGACACGCAGGTGGCGCGCGCGCCCGGGATGGACTCGCCCGTCTCGGCGCTCGACAGCGCGGAGAGCGACACGGCGGAGCGCGTCAAGGCGAAGGCGCGGCGCGGGGACAAGGGCAGGAACCGCGCGGAGCGCGTCGAGCTCGTGCATCGCGAGGGGCGGGAGCGGAAGGAGCGCCAGCGCACGGCGGGCGGGCGGCGGCGCGACCGCGAGAAGACGTTCGTGTGCCCGGTGAGTCTGCGCTCTGTCGAAAGTGTAGTTATGGATATAGGTACTGACCGGACGTGGTGTGACGCAGAGGCCCGGGTGCACCAAGGCGTACCTGAACCCGAACGGGCTCAAGTACCACCTCGAGAAGGGGACGTGCACGGTCGTGCTCGACTCGCCCAGCTCCGGGTCCGAGTACTGAGCGCGCGCCGCAACGTCAACCGTTCGCTCTCTATGCGTAGGTGTCGGAACGCAAAATTCAATCGAACTGTCTTGTTCGCCGACATATGGCATGCTGAAATCTGGCTTCCGCCTCACGGGCCATCTTGGACCCGCCCGCTGCAGACCCCGTCCGCTCCTCTCCCGCCGCGCGCCGCGCGCTGCGCACACGCACCTCCCCACGTCAAGCAACATCCGCGCAGATCCTCCCCGACGACCCCGCGTGTCACGTGCACATCTTGCCCCGGCACCCCGCCCGCCCCATCCTCCTGTCATACCGCCCCGAAAGGGCAGTCGCACCTCCCCTACGGCCGCGAACCCGCCCGCGCCGCCCGCATCGCATCGCATCGCGCGCGCTCCGCGCCGCCCCTGCTCGCCCCCGTCGTGTCCGCGACGTGGCCCAGCACCGGGGCTCGCTGGCACGGCCCCGTCCACCCGTGCCCTCATTTTTCCTCCTCCACTCCCGCTCCAACTTCCACTTCCGCTACACGTCCCCGCGTGTCCATCTACCTCAGCCCCCTGCCCCGCCCCGCCCTGTTCCTCCCCCATGCCCCTTTTCGCCAGTCAGCCGCGCGCCTTGGCGCCTGCGACCCTCCGGTCGGCGCATCGGCACCCGGCGCCAGACCCAGCGCCCGCGAGAAGGCAGCGACAGGCAACTCCCGTGCACGGCCGTCTCTGTACGGC